TAAACTGAATGTTTCCTATAAAGAATAACATGCCTTTTGTTCAGATTAGCAAAAATAATTAAAGGCAATGCAAATTCTAATAGAAGATGTCATTACAAAAACTGGTATTGGCATGATTTTGGCAATTTGCTTCACTGGTGCAATGGTTTATTCAATAGAGAGGTCTAATAACATACTGTTTACCATGTTTTCCTCCTCCAAACTCTTCAATCACTCGGTCTCTGTGACACTGTCCTCTCTTGGTTTTCCTCCTTTCTCTCCCAAAGCTCATTCAGTGACTCCTTTTCTAATGATACCTCCTCCCTTTGTCTTGCCTCTGTTGGGGTCCCCAAGGCTCTGTACTTGGTCCCCTACTATTTTCTCTTTATACTGCCTCTCTTTGCAAACTTATTACCTCATTTGGATTCCAATACCACCTGTATGCTGATGACACTCAGATATACCTCTCCTCCATGGACATCTCCCCTGCCATCCTGCGACATGTCACTGCTTGCCTTTCTTCCATCTCTGACTGGATGTCCTCCCACTTTTTGAAACTCAATCTCTCTAATACTGAACTCCTTGTCTTTCCTCCTCCCAATACTGATCCTCCTCCTTCACTCTCCCTTCAAGTTAGTGGTACCCACATCAGTCCATCCTCACAAGTGCACTGTCTTGGCGTTAGACTTAATTCTGGCCTCACACTTCAGCCTCACATCCGGTCTGTTACCAAATCCTGTAGATTCCATCTTAAAAACATAGCCTGCATCTACCCCTTTCTTATGCAAGATGCTACTAAGGAGCTTGTCCATGCTCTAGTAATCTCTTACATGGATTATTGTAACTCTCTTCTAATAGGTCTTCCCACAAGTTGTATTGTCCCGCTACAGTCTGTAATGAATGCTGCAGCTAGACTGATTTCCTCTACTGTTGCTCCTCTCACACCTCTCCCCTCTGTCAGTCCTTACATTGGCTTCCTGTATCCTATAGGAGTCAATTCAATGTACTAATCCACACCTATAAAGCACTGAACAATTCTAGTCCCTCCTATATCTCTTCACTGATCTCTTCTCTGCCTCTCCGCTCTGCCCATGACCTTCTCCTGTCCGCTGCTCTCACATGTATGGCCAACTCACACTTGCAGGACTTCTCACGGGTGGCTCCTTTCCTTTGGAATTTTTAAAATATTAATAAGTTGACAATTTTCCTGATTGCTAATTTCATTACCAATGGATATCTACCGTTGACTTCTGTAGAGTCAAATAGAAGCTTCAAATACCGCGGTTACATCGGAGTTTTAAAAAGTCAATTTTGGTGCTAAATAGTACATTAGTGGGATAGTACATTAGTGGGGTGCACTTCATATCTGAGAGTCAAATAGAATCGTCAAATACTGCTGTCACATTGCAGTTTTAAAACTTACATTTTTTGGGGTGCTAAAAAGTTCATTAGTGGGGTGCACTTCATATCTGAGAGTCAAATAAAAGCGTCAAATACTGCTGTCACATTGCAGTTTTAAAACTTACAATTTTTGGGGTGCTAAAAACTACATTAGTGGGGTGCACTTCATATCTGAGAGTCAAATAGAAGCGTAAAATACTGCTGTCACATTGCAGTTTTAAAACTTAAAATTTTTTGGGTGCTAAACTGCTAAATAGTATTTTAGTGGGGTGCACTTCATATCTGAGAGTCAAATAGAAGCGTCTAATAGTGTGCTTACAGTGTAGTGGTAAACATTCTAATTGTTTTGCTGCTAATCTGCTATATAGTACATTTTGTGGCCTGATCTTCATATCTGAGAGTCAAATAGAAGCATCTAATAGTACGCTTACAGCGCAGTTGTAAACATTCTAATTGTTTTGCTGCTAATCTTCTGCTTACATTGGAATTTTAAAAAGTCATTTTCTTTTTTTTTTTGGTGCTAAATAGTATATTTGGGGTGTGCACTTCATATCTGAAAGTCAAATAGAAGCGTCTAATAGTGTGCTTACAGCGCAGTGGTAAACATTCTAATTGTTTTGCTGCTAATCTGTACACATACAGCATCCTTTCATGTGCTTTTCAGGTGTCATATTGTTAATTACCAATTTTTGTTTACCCTGATTTTTTTTAAAAGAGTGAAAAATAAGTGTTATTGTGATCGCTTCATATACAGAAGCATTAATATACATTTCTATATTGTGTAAAGACACAACTACAAAGTTAAAAACCAAACACCAAAACAACGTGCCAGACCAGTGGCGTACATACCAGGGTCGCAGGGGTCGCGGCTGCGACCGGGCCCGGCCCACCAGGGGGCCCGGCCGCCCCTGCGACCCGGTGTGTTCCCACTGGGCCAGCCTCTTCCCCTGGGGGGCCCAGGAGCCGACCACCTCAGGGCCCCCCGAGGCTGGCCCTGCTGTCACCCGGCAGGCAGGTGGCCGGTCGGGCAGGCGGGCGTGCAAGGAGCACTCAGTGCTTCCTCTTCAGCTCCCTTGCGCACCACACTGATACCGGAGCCGGAAGATGATGTCATCTTCCGGCGCCAGCATCCCTACACGGCGCGCGAGGGAGCTGAAGAGGAAGCACTCAGAGCAGAGTGCTCCCTCGCGCGCCAGCCAGACAGCCCACCAGCCAGCCAGCCCAGCAGCACCACTGGACCCCAGGGAATCCCCCCAGCTCTCCAAAAGGTAAGGAGGCTGGGGGGATTAAATAAAAAAAAAAAAAAAACATGTGTGAGTGTTAGAGTGAGAGTGAGAGTGAGAGTGAGAGTGAGTGTGTTAGTGTGAGTGTGTTAGTGTGAGTGTTAGTGTGAGTGTGAGTGTTAGTGTTAGAATGTGAGTGTTAGAGTGTGAGTTTTAGTGTGAGTGTTAGTGTGAGTGTTAGTGTGAGTGTTAGTGTGTGTCTGCTAGTGAGTGTGAGTGTGAGTGTTAGAGTGAGTGTGAGTGTTAGAGTGAGTGTTAGAGTGTGTTAGAGTGAGTGTTAGTGTGTGTGTCTGCTAGAGAGTGTCAGTGATTGTGTTACTGTGTGTGTCTTACTGAGTGTGTGTGTGTGTGTGTGTGTGTGTGTGTGTTAGGGAGTCTGTTTGATGTCTATTAGTGAGTTTGTGTTTGTCAATGAGAGTGTATGTTTTGTAAGTGAGTGTGTATGTATGTCTGTCGCTGAGTGTGTCTCTGTCAGTAAATGTGTGTGTCTGTTAGCTAGTGTGTATGCGTCTGTAAGTGAGAGTGTGTGTGTCTTCAGCACTTACCTTTCTCCAGCGCTGGACTCCCTTGGTGCTGGGGATCCCTCAGCCTCTCAGCTCCGAATGCGACCGCGCACGCATTCAAACCGCCCATAGGAAAGCATTACTTAATGCTTTCCTATGGACATTCAGTGTGCTCCTCTAGCGGCTGTCAGTGAGACAGCCACTAGAGGCTGGATTAACCCTCAGTGAAACATAGCAGTTTCTATGAAACTGCTATGTTTTCAGCTGCAGGGTTACAGGGTTACAGGGTTACTAGAGGGACCTGACACCCAGACAACTTCATTGAGCTGATGTGATCTGGGTGTCTGTAGTGGTCCTTTAAGTGTGTGTGCATCTGCATGCACTGGGGTACATACCGCGGTCGCAGGGGTCGCAGCCCTGTAACCCCTGCGACCAGATGCCCACCGCCATGTGTTGCGGCCCGGCCCGCGCGCGGGGGGGCCCCACGGATCAATTTTCGCACCGGGGCCCCATGGGTCATGTGTACGCCACTGTGCCAGACAATCTACCTGTGCATGGCTAGTGTGATACAATAAGTTTTAAAAATGCAATAACCCGCAGAAGATGGGCGAGAATTGTTTTTGCAAATGGAACTTTGATTCGAATTTACTACATCGGTCACTTGTAATATTGTTTCACACCTACAACACTTGTTACACAGATCTAAGTGATAGAAAACAGATTGATATTTTCTACACTAGAAACTACCAGATAACAAGCTGCTATATTTAAAGCAGTTATCAATAGCTAAGAGTTACTTAAACAATATTGTAATTGTGTGGGGCAACACCCTCACAATTCAAACTGAGAGGCCAGTTTATAGGGGAAACTGTTACCTGGATACAATTCTAAAACAATTTCCATATGTATTTTGCAGACTTTACATGCTGGAAAAACACAGGTGAAAACTGCTGTGGCTTTCTGCAGTGTGCATACCAGCAAGGAGGGCAGGGTTGATCAGTGGGTGGAAGATGATGTGGAGGATGATGAGGTCCTAGACCCCACATGGAATCAAGGTCATGCGACTGACGTGTGCAGTTTTGAGGAAGAGGCACTGGTCGCACAGAGGCACCAGCTCTGCATAAGAGGGAGCAGGGTGCAAAAGCGGAGCGGCTGTCCCCTAGAGCTCATCGGCATGTATTATTTTTAGAATTCCCACAGTTATCCAAGTAACAGTTGAAGCAATAAAAAGAACCATAACAGATTTAATGAGCCATTCACAGTTTTGCAGTCCGGTGACCGGGACCCAGAAACTGTCTGGGCAGTGGTCGGACAACCGGGACCCAGAATGTCTGATGTAGAAGTTAGGAGTCACAGTGTGGAATGGATTAGCAGGGTCGGGTTCAGGGTAACCGCACACCCCCTGGTGTTGAGCACCAGCATTTGTGCGGCCACATACCAGGACATACCAGGACCCTGATGTAAAAAGAGTACTGGATACCAGAAGCAATCACCAGACTGATCCGCAACTTGGAACAGGATGTGACATTCACTGTAGCGGCTGTGCGCGCGTTTGGCGTTCTTACCCTGCTGCTGCTCGCCTGTCTGCGCTGCAGCGTAACTTTGGCCTTCCTGCTCACTGCCTCATATGCGACGTGCCCTCAAGGTGGAACTCCACCTTGCACATGCTGGAGAGACTGTTTGAGCAGCAGCAGGCGATAGTGGAGTTTCAGCTGCAGCACGCTCGGGTCAGTGGCTCTGCACCAGACTTCCCTCCAATTGATCAGAGTTAAAGGATTTCAAGTGGACCCATTACAATTACAGGGCCTCTAAAGAGTCCTGTATTGTTATTTGTCGTCACTACCTTCCCGCGTCAGGAGTGGGTTATTTGCGCACCTGCTGCCTTCCTTGCATGTGGTAGCCGTTTGTCCGGGGCCCTGTACGGAATCGAACCATGATTCCCCGTTATCCGTGGTCACCATGGTAGGCGCAGTCAATGGCATCGAAAGTTGACATACGAATGCGTCGTCGCCTTCTCGTTGGGAGCACATTGAAAAAGCGCTCTAGCATTACGAGCTGGGTGATCTCCTCCGGGAACTTGGCTTGATGGGAGTTGAGCCAGTTCTGGGTGGCCCTAGTGATGCCACGGTGTATACCCAGATATATCAGAGCTGCTGCAGAAAGTGCGGGCCGTCTGTGCGCGCTTTTGGCGTTCTCACCCTGCTGCTGCTCACCTGTCTGCGCTGCAGCGTAACTTCGGCCTTCCCGCTCACTGTCTCATGAGACTGTGAGAGCAGCAGCAGGTGATAGTGGAGTTTCAGATGCAGCACGCACGGGTCAGTCGGTCTGCGGAACAGTTGTCTTTTTTTATATGTCCCAATATTTTGGGGGCTACCCCTATTAAAATAAAAAATATATATTTATAAACAGTGTTGGCTACCTCCTCCACCGCCGCTTCCAACTACACCACCACGGTCACCGCCTCCTCAACCTATGGGTCACTTAGTATAAACTATGTACACAATAGCAGAGGCTTGTGAAGGCCTTTTCTCCATGCATCAGGAGTTGAGCATTTCTCCATGCATCAGGACTGCAAGAAATGCACCGGAGGCCGCAAATGTTTCTTTTTTTATATGCCCCAATATTTTGCGGGCTACCACAATTAAAATATATATATATATATATATATATATATATATATATATAAAAAACAGTGTTGGCTACCTCATCCTCCACCTCCACCACTGCTTCCACCTACACCGCCACGGTCACCGCCTCCTCAACCTATGGGTCACTTAGTATAAACTATGTACACAATAGCAGAGGCTTGTGAAGGCTTTTTCTCCATGCATCAGGAGTAGAGCATTTCTCCATGCATCAGGACTGTAAGAAATTCACCGCAGGCCGCAAATGTTTCTTTTTTTATATGTCCCAATATTTTGGGGGCTACCCCAATTTAAAAAAAAAAAAAAATTTTTTTTAAAAAACAGTGTTGGCTACCTCCTCCTCCTCCACCGCCGCTTCCACCTACACCGCCACTGTCACCGTCTCCTCAACCTATGGGTCACTTAGTATAAACTATGTACACAATAGCAGAGGCTTGTGAAGGTCTTTTCTCCATGCATCAGGAGTTGAGCTCAGTTTGAACAATGAAATAGAATACCCTGCACTCCAACCCTCTTTCAAATAGATAATTTTGTTGATCCTCCTGAAAGCCATGCTTTAGATTTTGATTTATGTTCTTCCAAAGCTAAAATCAAAGATTCCATCTATTGCTATTTTATGGCTCAGCTGTATTTTTTATTTTTTAGGTATTTTATGTTATTTTAAGTGATTTCCCTATCCACATTTGTTTGCAGGGCAATTGTCCTACTCTTACCCCCATTTTACTTCCTTTTGCAGCTCTCTAGCCCTTTCCAGTCGTTTTTTAGAGGAATTTTTGTGGCCAAAAGTTCGGGTCCCCATTGACTTCAATGGGGTTCGGGGTCAGGTTCGAACCTGAACCCGGACTTTTTTTTAAAGTTCGGCCGAACCCGCCGGACCCGAACTTCCAGGTGTCCGCCCAACTCTATTTATAAAATATTTTACCAGGAAGGATACATTGAGATTTCTCTAATTTTCAAGTATGTCCTGAGTCCACAAAACATTGTGTTACAACAATGTTACAATAGGGTACATTATTACAAATAATACAATATATAAACAATATATATGTTTGTATGTTTATATATATATATATATATATATATATATATAAAACAAGAGGGGGTTGGCTGCACTCACCTTAACATGCATAAATGGGGGTGCTGCTGGGGGCCAAATAATACAATACACAAGATCCAGCGCACTCACCTATCCACTAAACAGCAACTTCAATGTTGAAAGATTTTATTTGTTTTTTTTAAAACACCTAATCTAGGCAAAAATAATGGGGGTTTAGTTACATTATATGATCATACATTGCATAAGCCTGCCACAACGTCAATGTACCCCATCTTTGGCAGGTCCTACACTAACAGCCTAATGTCTGCTCTTATGAGATTAACCTACTTGGGGAAAGAAATTCCATCTGGGGCTCTCTGCAGTACAAGGCTAAATAGGGCCCTGGGATGAGGCACCTGTGACAGGGAGGGGTGCAAAACCAAGGAGTTGGCTAGACTCCCAAATATATATAAAACAAGAGGGGGTTGGCTGTACTCACCTTAACATGCATAAATGGGGGTGCTGCTGGGGGCCAAATAATACAATACACAAGATCCAGCGCACTCACCTATCCACTAAACAGCAACTTCAATGTTAAAAGATTTTATTTGTTTTTTTAAAAACACCTAATCTAGGCAAAAATAATGGGGTTTAGTTACATTATGTGATCATACATTGCATAAGCCTGCCACAACATCAATGTACCCCATCTTTGGCAGGTCCTACACTAACAGCCTAATGTCTGCTCTTATGAGATTAACCTACTTGGGGAAAGAAATTCCATCTGGGGCTCTCTGCAGTACAAGGCTAAATAGGGCCCTGGGATGAGGCACCTGTGACAGGGAGGGGTGCAAAACCAAGGAGTTGGCTAGACTCCCAAATATATATAAAACAAGAGGGGGTTGGCTGCACTCACCTTAACATGCATAAATGGGGGTGCTGCTGGGGGCCAAATAATACAATACACAAGATCCAGCGCACTCACCTATCCACTAAACAGCAACTTCAATGTTGAAAGATTTTATTTGTTTTTTTAAAAACACCTAATCTAGGCAAAAATAATGGGGGTTTAGTTACATTATATGATCATACAGTGCATAAGCCTGCCACAAC